ACCAAAGACTGACATTTCCTGGATTAAGCATCCCAATAGGTATTTCGTCGAATGGTGCATGTCATGCATCAATCGATTGGTGAGTAGATTGCGTTACTTTATATTGTATCTGCGAAAGATGAGAAAATAGATATCAATGTTAATGTGTAGTCACGTTGAACGGAGGGAGAGACAGCCGGTTTTCTTTGGAACATAAATCCTTATGTGTGGTGAAAGGGAAACTCATATGTCCTTCGTATGTCCTTAGTTCATTGGTGTAATGGTAGCGCACCCGACGGAGAAACAGGAGGCCGGGGTTCAAGTCCAGGTAGTCACCTGTTCTATCGTCCAGTTCAGGCAGCCTCCGCCGTCACCACTCTACTTGCAATGTCACCACTCTCCTTACCTGTCTCCATGCATCACTGTCGCAGGCTGTTGCAGGTACTTATATTTGAAATTTATTCGCTGAGCAGTTCGGAATTGATACGACAAAGCAGGTGACTGATGTCTGAGTACTCTTCGGTGTTGCTCAGATAGACCAGCTTCGTATCGGATGCATATTTCACTGGATCTTCTGAATCCCAATGCTTAATTTTGCTTTTTCTAATCCTCACTGACGCCATAGCGCGAAATAACACATCACATGAATAAAAGCCAAAAATCAAGTTTTTTTTACCATTTTTGTAGGTGGTCTGCTTTCAAGACGCAAGTTTTACACGAATTCACCTATTTTCATGCGCCATCTAGAATGGAAGGAACGACCATAGGGGGTTTGTTTGGCCGGAGAGCAAAAATATCGCCTGTAGTAAATACAAGGTTAGGGGTTATCCAGATTGACAGTTGCCTGAAATGGTGAAAAATCACCAGTAGCTTATACTCATTCAATGACCTATATTGCCTATGCCAAGGTTCCTATGGAGAGAGAAAATCTCCATTTTCTTTCTGGAAATTCACTTGTACAGGTTGTACATATTGTGCCTGTCATCAAACTGAATTTACAGATTAGAAATTGAGTTATTGAATTTCTACATGGTGTCGGATGGTGGAGGAATTTAAATCTCCTTTTCTCTGCTTGAAAATTTAGTTGATCCTTTCCATTAGGGAAAGAGGCAGTTTACTCAAACATCGCTGATCCATGGGCCACTTGAATAGCTCGTTAATGGTTCCATACAATAAATCTTGGAATTAGCTGCCGGAAAATCGAACCATTCATTTCTTGATAGCAGGAGGAGGATTCTTTATTCACTTGAGATAGCCCTGTTCATGTTATTCTCCCGTGAAATGTGCTTCGAATAATTTTGAGTCTGTTAGCCTGTTACCGTGCAACAGGGTGGAGATGCTGTTGACCTTGAATTTCCTTGTTTATTTGCTCCTTTATCTCAAAATAGACTACCGATGGTGCTACTTCCGCCGAAATCCCTGAAGGGAAGAGAAGCCGTCATTAGTACGATAGAAACAATATTGAAGGAAAGGAGAAACTGGTTCCCAGTTCCAAGGATATAAGGCGAAAGTTCTAAAATTCAAGAGGGAAAAATAGTTGACTGGGGAGAGGGGATGTGATGGCGTTTCCTTGGCAGAAAAAGAACTGAGTCCCAGACCTGTGGGTCAGGCAATTACACGTTCGATCATTCGACCAGGTACAGGCTAGGTATTACATAAGTAATTAATGTAAACGAGCTTCTCCCCGATAAAGCGATATGCCAACCATGCATTGAAGGCACATAGTTTGGTGACCATTTTCTAACGAGGCACTTGAACGCATCGTTCAGAGATGTGACTCACATGTCAAAAGGAAGTGCGTCAGCAATACAGCATGTCAACGCCAGTGAATTTCTTGGTCTGAGTTTAACTTGTGCAAGGTCTCCACACCTTGTCCACACCTTAATTATTGCTGCACTAGTTACCTTCGTTTCCGTTTCCGCTCGAAAAACTGTCTGGTTTCCATCAGATGTAATCGGTGGTCCAACCATCCAAGTGTAGGTGACGCGCCGATGCTTTATTGAGCGTCCTCCTCCCCTTCCCACTTCCCCAATTCCCCCCTCTCCATTTCCCCATGTCCCTCTCCTCTCTTCCTTCTCCCATTTTCTTTCCTGATAAGACTCCATGCTTCTTATGTGTAAACTTGAGGTTCCCTTGAGATTAAAACTAAAAAAATGACGTTGAATAGATAAGCAGCGATTGGAACGTGACGACCTTCAGTCGCGTGCCAGGAAGGAACGCGCCTTGAAAGCGTGTGCCTCCAAGTTTTTTTTATTTTTTCCCGAGCAGCTTCGTCGAGAGAGATGTATAATAAAAATCCAAGGATGCCAGTATATATACATGCTTTACTTACGCAATTTCTAAGGGAGGAGGGCGTGTTGGCGCCCGTTATCTCAAATTACGCCACGATAATCCCCAATATATAGGGTGGTTAAAAAAAGAACGCTTTACCGTTTTCTATGGGAAAAACACAGTTTCATAAATGTAGCAAAAAATTGCATTCGATACATGATAGATATTTGACAGTTACAAGCTGTTAAAATGCTTGCCAGCTTTTTTTCAGTACCCCTGACTATGTCGTGCAATGCCCATTAAGTGATTAATTAAAGGTGCTTAGAGGTAGATTATTAAACCTCATATGACGTCATTACCTGTGATCGATCGTCTCAGAATTCAATCAACTCATAATCTTTAAATGTTCAATGGACATCTGGATACAGCTGATACTTGACAGAGAGGTTCATAAGTCTAAGAGGATTTTTTTCACTTCCGCAAGATGGCGCTGTATCCCGATAGAGGGCGCTGCTGTTGACCAGGTGACTGAGGGTGATTTCAAAAAAGCTTCACCCCTTTTAAAGGGGGGAAAGTACGATTCGTGCATTCGAGTGAAACATGTGAGATTTATGAACTCTTGGTATTTGACATATAGGAGGTGTTGAAAAGATTCTGTTCTTTTTCTGAACAATACTCTAAGTCGTGTATTGTCCTGTTACACAGTTAACAAGTGAAGCATTAAATCTTTTTTTAAATCACCCTCGGTCGCACGGCTGACAGCAGCGCCCTCTATCGGGATTCAGCGCCATCTTGCGGAAGTGAAAAATAAAACCTTTTTGATTCATGAACCTCTCTGTCAACTATCAGCTAGATCCAACTATTCCTTTAAAAGTTAAAGTTGAAAAATACTTTGAATTCTGAGACGATCGAGCACAGGTAATGACCCCACTTGAGGTGGAATGAGCCACCGGTTACCACCTTTAATTCACCTCTATATGTGCAGTGCACGACTTCGTCAGGGGTGCTGAAAAAAAGCTAGCAAGCATCTCAACAGCTTTTAATAGTCATAGATCGATCGCATATCTAATGCGATTTTTTTGCTACATTTATAAAACTGTGTTCCTCCCATAGAAAACGGTAGAGCGTTTTTTTAACCACCCTATATATGACAATTCAGTGGGATGGATTTTTAAAAAATGCCGAAGAGTATTCTCCTGATGTAAGAAATGACCAGAAAAACTGGAATGACGAGCAAGCTTGTCGATTTGTATACATGTTTTCCTAAGTAACAATGGGAAACGAAAACCGAAAACGGATTGCAATTTTATTATGATAAAGCATTATCATCCCTTATACAATAAAGCAAGAAAAGCACTAACATTAATAAGTAAAACATTTCTTGATGTTTTACGGCAACTCTTCTCGAAAGGTGATCTTCATATGCTCTTACAGCGCCCAGACTTTCATCGTTGATCGAGCCGATAGGATGATCCACATTTCTCTGGTCTTTCCGCTCAAATGTGCATCTTCCGCCAAATGTGCGAAATGCTTTGAAGCTTCTACGCAGTTGCTGGCTCACGACTTCTGACTCTTTTTTGCTGGAATTCACCGGCGAAGTGGGCAAGAAATGTGCAACACGTGTGCAGAACACGAAGAAACCGGTCCTTTCCAAGGGCGACGAGTCAAAACTCCTAGTTAGTTCGCGGGCTCGAATTATTTCCAGTACCGTATCATGCACTTCAAGGGAATCCCTGAATGTAAAGTGTCGTTCGATAACGGACCTTGCTCTTAATCAAATCCGATTCCCCCGTCATATTCAAGCTACCGAAACGATTCTTCTGTCAAGAGAATTTCCTTTTTCAGAATGTCATCAGTCCTATTTCTCGTCCTATTTCTAGCCGTCATTCTTTTGCCTAAGGCGAAGCGGGTAATTCGCAGCCCAATCCTTTCTTAATTTTCTCATATTTGTTGTCGGACGAAAATTTCAGATGATTTTGGAGGGGTTAAAGAGGAATTTGACAGGTTCAGAAATGTGGATGGGATATTAGTAACTTTATTGTAATTGGCCTCGAAGCTTCATTTCAACCTCGAATGCATATCTGCAGATCGAACTTCGAGAGGATGTCCATCGGGGGCAGGTGGAAGTTTATCTCTTCTTTCCTTGCCATATAGTCCGCCCACTCTCCCACCTTCCAACCCAATTTGCCACCTCTCCCCCCTGCCTCCATGGCCCATTTAAAGTGTTTAGGGTTTAGCAAACGGATTTCATAGAGAACATTTTCAGATGATGGAGAGCCATAAAACCTTTTCTTTGTAGAGGGATTATAAAATGAGTCTTCCCTTCGCGACAGAGATCGCAAAGGACCGTGCCTGTCGATCACCTTGAGCCTCTAATCTTAGATACTCCGACGATATACAGGACGCTCGAGAGCGACGTTCAGGAATGAAAGCTACGATTCGTCAGGAGTCTATCGATATTTGCCCCCAAGTGTCGTAATACGATCACAGCCTCGCGTCATATTGGGTCGGACTGAAAAAGATACGGTCCTTGAAGATTCGACAGCGGGCCCTCGCATCATTCGTCGTTCAGCGTTCCTCCAAAAGTGACCATCCGCAAATGATGTCCCTTCCTCGGGGAAAGCGCAGAAGGTGAATCACGGTTTCAATGCTTTCAATTTGATTACATTAATTACATTAATTTGATGACTTGCTTCTTATGTGGATCGACGATGTTTCCTTTGCTTTAACATTTCCGGAACATACCGTACATGGAGTATGTTATGAACCTGCGTATTTAAATTCGGAAGAACTGCCACATCATATTGATTGTCCTGCCAACCCCAACTCCCAATGGCAATCAATCGCGAAAAAAGATAAAACTTGCAAAAGACCACAAAATCGATTTTTTCCGATCCAACTGGATTTGCAACATGCACAACAATGAACTTTGAAAAAAGGAGAGCTTCCAGATATCTCCCCTATGCCACACGGAAAAAGGCAGACTATCTGATATTTCTCAAGAACCAGATTACTCTCTCCGATTCTGAATGGAATTTCGCAGGACTGCAGGTAGAGAGAAAGAAAGAAACCACGCGCCCTTCAAAGTTCCAGATGGAAAGAAGTTCCAGCCGACTAAGGTCTCACTTGTGACAATGGTGGCACAAGAACATAACCGCCGAAATGCTCATGGTAATGGACCTCTGAGAGGATCAATACCTCACCGATTTCCTGGGATAGCAATATCCATGCTTTTCACGGATTATCCATGCTTGTCACTGATCCTGCAGAATGGAAGGGCCCGTCGAATGGGACGATGATGGCAGCAAGTCCTCGACAGTCAAGTTCGGGCCGTGGACGTCACGATTCGACACACGGCAAGGGCAGGTGAGATTGAATTTCACTCAGAGAAATGGCGAGAGTCATGTCTAAGTTCAGTATTTCCGTGTGTGAAACTTATGTATGTTTTTTCACTTTTCCTGTCACACGATACCAAAGAAAAATATGAACTCAACTTAATTGATGGTCCACGAACAGGCACGGGTAACGATCAAAATAATTTTCTGACTTTCGAAACCCGCGAGTAAAAGAAATTCTGTCGTGAAATTAATATCTAAAAATTCAATAACTGAGATAGAGGAATCATCAACCATGAACCCTGGACCAGAACCTAATCCTCATGAACAGGACTTAGCTTCGGACAGGGTGGAATGTCACCAGTGTTCCTTCTCCCACCTACCTATCTCCACCTCCCTATCTCCACCTGTAACTTCCTCCTCATGTGCCCAGCAGTGACTGAAAGTCACCAATACACGGGGCTAGATAAGTGTCATTCTAGATAAGTGTCATTCCTGTCTTATCCGTCTCATCATTTCTCGGTGAGTCGGTATAATCTATTCAGTCGGTATCATGACACCATAGTTCTTTCCGTGAGCACTCGTATTACATTTAATGACCAGGACACGATGGTGACGATGACTGCGTTATCGTTCAAATGTCCTGAAGGAATCTGTCAATTTTGACATAATCCTATTCAACAAGTGTTGACAACTTCATCACCTTATTCCAGTATGCGTAAATCCGTACAGGAAAGAAACGGCTCTATCAATATAATTTCCTCAGCTCCACATACAGGGAAACAAGTTATCTTCATGAACAGTACAAGTTAGACGCCAATAATTATTTTATTGCTTTTATATAATGACCATGAATACTTTTTACTGCACTTTCAAGCCATATCTTTAGATAAACGTTTTGAATATTAAATTACCGTTTCAAATTGTTGACGCTCGCCCAACATCGGCCAAAAAAGCTCGACCAAGAAGGGTTAGAATTTAAAGTGTGTCGGATGAATATTTGGAGAAAACTCGACTAACAGTCAAATTTCAATACGACCTAATATTATCACCCCGAAATGGCATCCTAGATGATTTTTACTGATAAAAGGTGGTAGGATAATGCGCAAAAATGTGTGAGGTAATAGAGGAAAGTCTCCAGGTCGCGAGACGAGAAATGCAGAGAAAACCTGGATGAATAGGGAAGAAGGCGGCGTCACTGAAGATGCCTTTTTCATTTTCTCTCTTTCCTGCAAGCTTCTCTATCAGATACTTGTTGAGAGTTTAACTGCGAAGCAACCCAAGACAAAATATCTAGAGGCAATTTGAAGTTGCTGGTGTTTGACTATAAAGAGGTATGTATCCTGCTACAATCAACAGATTCATGCGTGCATCAAGTTGAATCAAGTTGAATTATGAACTAAGTAGACACTTGATTTGAGGGTTTTCAACGTTTCTTCTTAATATGGAACTAACTCAATGTACATTTTCCATTTCAGTCTTACCGAGAACATGACGAATCCTATTAAGCGTCTCAGAAGTATACTATGTGGGAAAGGAACCATCATCGACATGGGCGACTTCCTCCTTAATCTCGGTGAAAAAGACGTAATTTCGCATTTTGAAGAAGATGATATTAAGAGTAGGAGGAGCTATTCAGACAAAATGGATGCCGTATTTACCATTCTTCTCCGGAAAAACCCGACTTCAACCAAGGCGAAGCTACTCGAAGTTCTTGAAGCGATGGAAAGGGAGGACATCGTAGAACGTTGGGAGAATGGCTCTGGTTCGTTATATGTTTCTTTTCCATTCCAGGAGGAGTTATTCCAATGCCGTTCAATTCATTTCCTTCGCATCGATAGGAAGTCGTGGAAATCCGAGTTCCCGCCGAGACCTCCTGCTGGCAAACGAGGGCATCTTGAAGGACCGGCTGGACGTTGAGGTCGTGTCGACCGAACTGCTCAAGTCGGGAGTGTTATCGCAGGGGGATCTCGACGAGATCATGACGCCACGGGAGAGGAAGGAGAAGAGGACTGTGTTATGGGCGAAACTGCTGACTAAGGTTGACCCTAGGGGTTTTGAGAAGCTCCTCGAGGCACTCACACAGGCCAAACAAGGTGATGTAACTGAGGAACTCCGATCACAAGGTGAGCATATTTCGAAGATGAAGGAGCAACTATGATTTGTTACTCTACGAATAACTCGTTTTGCTTCCTCCCTTAACCCACAGAGCGCAGCATTTATACAGGGAAACCCCACATTAGAAATGTCCTCTTGGACTCGTGAGTCATCTTGCTTGCAAATCTGACTCGTATGTGCACATTCCCTTTCCCCAATAATTTTTTTAATAATCCATCCAGAATTCCCTCTGACGAGGACCTTAGACGGATCGCACCGAAACTGAAAGAATCGTGGCATGAATGGGAATCCCTCGGGAGAGAACTGGGACTCGGTTTGGATGCAATAGAACGAATCAAGTCGAAAACAAGGAGCCACAACAGCGAACGTCCGATGAGGACGACGTATCTACTTCTGAGAGAGTGGAAGAAGTCCTCACCAAAGGACTCCACGTTTCGGGCTCTCCACGAAGCCCTGTGCAACCAANATAGCCTCACTCCTCAGGTGAGTTCTATCCTAGGGCACTGGACATCATTTTCTGACACTTAGAAGCTCAAGTACTGACTTAAAATGTAAGCGTGACTCTTGTCTCAGGTTATCAGTATGAGATGGATAGAGAAGCGGCTGAGAACTAATCACATTCAGAGAGGGAGAACAATGAGGAACTCTTGACCGGGGTGTAGGGTTAGAGGTCAGGCGTGACACCTGGGTGGGGTACGCTCGTACCACAAAGGGGGCGTTCACAGAGAGCATTTCCCTCACGTGTAGGACGTGACAGCCCTTCGGCCAGGCCTCTCGCCTCGTGTTGTGCCGGCTGGGCCGTTGCATCACTATTGCGCCCTGTCAATCGAACTGATTCTTTCTCATTCTTAAATCACATCGGCTGCAGGTTTACAATTTAGCTTTGCAACGTTACCTACTATAAATTGAACAGTTGAAAAGTCGTAACAGAGTTGGAAAAATTCAAAATTCACGAAGAGATTCCGGATTCGTTCGACCACGAACAAAGAAACTTGATGATGAAAGCCTTCATTCATACGTGAATGGAGAAACTTCATGGTTGACTGGATGGGTGAATTAAACACGAATGTTAGACGAAGTTGGTCGTTGGAGTTAGGTAAAAGCGCTTAATCCTCCACAAATCCGCATACCATTGATGAACCCAAACGTTCCGTGGTTGCAGCTCTGCACTAAGAGGTATAGCGCGAGAAACACTGCACAAGGCTATTTAACACATTGCTGTACGTTACAGACAGCTTAAACAAAGGAACGGTGAGTACTTTGAGCATGTCTTTCAATGTCGAAAAAGCTCGTTGAGTTTGCCAGTCAGATGACACGTAATTCAATTTTCGATTGCATTAAATGATAAAAGTACAATTTAATGAAATGTGAAACATTTTTGTGCGCCACCCTTTACATGAGAGGCGAATTTGTCAGTCATTCTGCCATTCTGTGAGTCATTCCGGGAAGCTCGGATATATTTTAATGACGGGTTTTAATGACTTGGGTGTCAATCGAAGATTCATGACCTGGAGGAGATACTTGTTGGGTCAAAAATCCAAAAAGTGCTCTGTAAACGTGGCTTCTACGGGTCCTCCTGTCTTTCTGCGCGTCAGAGACCTGCACGGGTCGACTTTTTAAGGCTTCAAACTGTATCGACCGGATCGTGGCTTGCACCCGGTCCGGAACGCGGATCGGGTTGTGGCGACATGATCGACCCGCGGCCTGCTTAGGCCTCTTGGCTTGGGAACTCTAGGTTCTCTGATGACGTGTTTGCCCCAAGGGGAGACGGAGGGACCCTCGCAGATCTGCGCATGAACGCAGTTTCGGGTGGAACGGTTCAGAATGAAGGACATTCTGTGTAAGGGGAGAGGGAGGCGAAACCGTGCCTTTGGCATGGGAAACCGTGCAAGATTGTCATATAGAGAAATCCGGGACTCATGAAAATTTCCCTATAGGCCGAAAAAATCTCTTTCTTAGGGATGGGTTGTGTGAATTCGATGCCAGACCATGTTTCATCCATATGCTTATTATACGTAACACTTAAAATGATGATCGTTCTGTGTTAGGGTGTCATTCCAGGGGATCTCCTCCTAGACGGATGAACGGATTTTCATTAGTGAGACGGCAATCGAAACCTTATGACCGGAGGCGATACATCTCGGATCAAAAGTCGAAAAAATCATCCCCTTCTCATGAAAAAAAAAAATTGGCAATAGAAAAAGCACGATGCCGAACGCTCGCACACCCGACCCGAATCTCGATCCTCGACCTCGCTGCACGACCGATGCAAATGTAAGATCCTTCCGATCGGGTCGATCCCCACCAAACTCAAAATTTTCCCATTTTCCCCGGCCGTTCTTCCGTTAGAACGACGGTCCTCACTTTAGGACTGCGAAGCGGAACTCGCTGAGCTTTTGCATGCAAGCGATCGTTGCTTCCCAAAAGACGGAACGCATTCCCCCTAAAACTCATTGAAATCACGTCTGTTTCGATTCGAAATTTGTCTCTCTCTAGAAACCCACGAGCCGGATCTCACCGGTTTTACTTACAAAAATGCAAATGGAGATTCTCTTCGGACGGCAACCATCCTCCCGCCCTCCATCCTGCGGTTTCCACATTCGTTCCGTGCATCTCGTCCGACCATTTCGCCGTCTTGGGGCAGAATTTCGACGGTGAGAAGAGCTTAGTACCGAATGCCTTCTCGGTCGGTGTGCTCACAGCCGACGATGAGAGTGCATTGTCGGCTACTGAAGCCGTTGCTATGGTAACTGCTGACGATAGCATCGCTAGTACTCCAATATTAATATTTTTAAAATGTCGATGATCTCAAAATGCTCCGAAAAAGTAGGAAAAAGTAGGTCAACTTTCCTGCGGCGGGTTCTAATGAACGAAATAGAGATAGAGAAATTCTGGCATCGCAGTGGGTCCGTGGGTAAAAGAGCATGACGGCGTTCGCAAAAGGCCGCTTCGCAGGCTGCTTCCAGGAATAGTGAAACTGACGAATCGAGAAAAGAAAGTCATGCACGGAGAGTTCCGATTCGACTTATTTCCGCCCTCGCTCGCACGGGCCTTTACACTAGTAAGACGAATAACTTTCGGAAACGTGTTTGGCGGGTTGCGATGCGAGTTGCGTGAGACTGTAATAAAAGAGTCCAGACACCACATTGTCTTACGAGGCGACGATTTAAAGCAACGTCTTCAGCTTTGTGTTGCCCGTCGTCACCAAGGATATTATTGATAAATTTTTCTTCCTGGAGCATTGAGGATAACAAAATATATATATTTTTAACATTTTCCAGTTCCCATGAATCGTATTTTTCAAGTTAAGACTTGTTTATCTTGGGGGCGGAGCCTTATTCTGAAAAAACTGTTTGAAACCCATAATATGTTTGGTCATTTGAAAAGGCGTATTTTGCAAAGAATGTCATGTTTATTGATCTTTCCCTGGTAACTTCTGAATTTACATTTGCATATTGCAGAAAGCTTGAAATAGCCTATTCCCCCTGCCTTCATCCTGGAAAGACAATCAGTTTCACTCTCGGGGGCAATCGAACATACCCATCTCAAAAAAGGCCAAATTTTAATTCTCTCATGTGCAGGCCTGAAGTAGGTCCTGAGAATTTTGGAAATTCAGGGAGTTTACTGCCCCTTCGCGCGTGTCTGCAAAGGTGCCGAGTACTAAAAGTTTCCCTTTTCCAGAGAATTCCCTCCATGATTCACGTGAGAGATGTAGCCCTTCGAAATAGGTCAGACACTGGGTAATGTTAGGGAGATATAACTTCTGGGAGCGTGGTTTTGTAAAGGAAGAGGAGCTTTCCAGTTACTTGAGCCATAGTCTCTAGGACTTGTACTTAAACTTAACATGATGTAGTCACGAGCTGAGTAGTAAGATATCAGATAGAATAAAAGATATTCATAATTACCCGTAATTAATTTGACAAAAAAGGAAGCGTACAAGTGGTAACACGTAATAATCCAAATCAGTGAAGGACACTGAGTCCATGGATCCAAAATCCACTTGGGTTCAATCAAGTTCTAAAGCAACATACGGTGCTTTTTCACTTGAGTTAGACAATTTTTAATTCAGACACACGTGGACGATTCTCACGCATGAGTGTCAAAGTTCGAAAAATGTGTCTGGCTGAAGCGAAAAAAAGACTATGGAAGCAGTGGCGGCTTTGTAATATTCTGCGCGATTTTTCTGCATTTCTTCATACTCTTCATCCGTTGAATGTTTTTAAGACGATTTCCATCCCTTATTCGTCCGAATTCGACACATCCTTCAAGGAAAAATTCATTACAGACACTCCTTGATGTCATCGCAGTTCTTCTTGCAGAGTAGGGCGATGAGTCCGCTTGTGTCCATGCCTTGGTTGCACAGGGCTTCGTGGAGAGCCCGAAACGTGGAAGGTCTGTCCTTTGGTGAGGACTTCTTCCACTCTCTCAGAAGTAGATACGTCGTCCTCATCGGACGTTCGCTGTTGTGGCTCCTTGTTTTCGACTTGATTCGGTCGATCGCGTCCGAACCGAGTCCCAGTTCTCTCCCGAGGGATTCCCATTCATGCCATAATTCTTTCAGTTTCGGTGCGATCCGTCTAAGGTCCTCGTCAGAGGGAATTCTGGACAGATTATTTAAAAAAATTATTGGGGAAAGGGAATGTGCACATACGAGTCAGATTTGTAAGCAAGATGACTCACGAGTCCAAGAGGACATTTGCAATGTGGGGTTTCCCTTCATAAATACTGCGCTCTGTTGGTTAAGAGAGGAAATTCAACAAAACTAGTTGTTCGTTGAGTTACAAATCATATAGATAGTTGCTCCTTCATCATCGAAATATGGTCACCTTGTGATCGGAGTTCCTCAGTTACGTCACCTTGTTTGGCCTGTGTGAGTGCCTCGAGGAGCTTTTCAAAACCCCTCGGGTCAATCTTCGTCAGTAGTTTCGCCCATAACACAGTCCTCTTCTCCTTCCTCTCCCGTGGCGTCATGATCTCGTCGAGATCCCCCTGCGATAACACTCCCGACTTGAGCAGTTCGGTCGACACGACCTCAACGTCCAGCCGGTCCTTCAAGATGCCCTCGTTTGCCAGCAGGAGGTCCCGGCGGGAACTCGGATTTCCACGACTTGCTATCGATGCGAAGGAAATTATTAGAACGGCATAGGAATAACACTTCCTGGAATGGAAAAGAAACATATAACGAACCAGAGCCATTCTCCCAACGTTCTATGATGTCCTCCCTTTCCATCGCTTCAAGAACGTGGAGTAGCTTCTCCTTGGTTGAGATGGGGTTTTTCCGGAGAAGAATGGCAAATACGGCATCCATTTTCTCTAAATAGTTCCTCTTACTCTTAATATCATCTTCTTCAAAATGCGATATTAGGTCTTTTTCACCGAGATTAAGGAGAAAGTCGTCCATGTCGATGATGGTTCCTTTCCCAGATAGTATATTTCTGAGACGTTTAATGGGACTCGTCATGTTCTCGGTAAGACTGAAATGGAAAATGTACCTTGAGTTAGTTCCATATAAATAAATAACGTTGAAAACCCTCAAAGCAAGTGTCTCCTTAGTTCATAATTCAACTTGATTCAACTTGATGCATGCATAAACACGTTGATTGTAGCTGATGCATACCTCTTCATAGCCAAACACCAACAACTTGAAATTG